ACACTTCCACCACATAAACCTGTATGGAATAGTAAAGAAACATTGAGTAGATAAATAGAAATGCTCAAGTTACAAGAAAGGCGAACAAGGAGCGATCTTTTTTTTCATGGAAATGAGAAGAAGTCGTTAAATACAGTGCTAAACTAACCTCGCGGAGCTCGTCCAGGTTCTGAAATCAGACCAACCCGTTGTTTTGGCCACTTCTTCGTTGTCAGCTGTTCAACGATCTTCTCTGCACCGGGGAAGCCAAGGGTTTGGCGACGACGCTTGGCTGCAAAGTTTAGAAGGCTGACAAAACAACAGTCAAAAAGCAAAAACAACAAAAAGGGCGCAATTCCGCCGCGCATTTCGGCGACATCGGGGGGGGGTTCGCACCTCCTACTTCCCATCCATGTGACGCCGTCATGTAGAGACTTGTGAAATCTTGTGATGCCTTGAAGTTATACCACGCAAAGTTTGTAGACCTGTCAACTCTCGTGAAGCAATGGAATACCATACAAATACCATTTACCATGGTGGCTTGACGAGCTTGCTCCAGCTTCACAAGAGTTCACAGGTTTCACCAGAGTGAGACTTGTAAACCGGAACTAGTAAAGTAGCGAAAAAGCAAAGTGCCCCTCCCGTCGTCGAACTGGGCCCAATTTGGCGAAGGACGATTCATTTTACCAGTTCCTATCAATAAGGTCATTTTTTGGAGACCTGCAAACTCATGAAGTGGTACAACCTCTACTACCGCGCCATTTTTTACTTTGCTATTTTGGGAGGGCTTTGCTGCGGTTAGGGCAGGGACAAGCGGAGAAATAGATGTGAGCCTGAGAACAGTGATTTTTGCCAAGCCTGTGGGAAGTATCTTTAGGGAGAGGGAACCATTCTCTTTGTGCTACTAGGGCTACGTTTGCTTCTTCGAGTCGCCTCCTACCCACCGCCTCCCGCCTTTCACCACACTTTTCTCTGCTTATCCTGCTTCTTTGGATCAATGCCCTCACTGAAAGCAGATTGGCTCCACTTTGTTCCTTTATTCTTTACAAAGATTCATGGGACTACAAAATAGGCGAATTGACAGTGAAATGCCCTACTCAAGGCTGAGTTCTTGAAAAAGACAGACTGTAAAAGAGAAGACATCAGTCTAGGGATAACAAAGAATAAGATCTGGAGCAATTTAAAATTAGTTAAATTAGGAATAACTTAAAACTACACGATTTTTTTGGGGTATAAGGTGCACCCTGGTACTGATTACATTGTCGTACTCAAACGCGCAAACGTTTTTCCGTGGCGTCCCATTTCTAAACAGCTTAAAAGACTGGAATCTGCAAAAATACTGAAGGAGAAGTTGCTATGTTCAGAAACTTTTCGCGTGCATTATCGCGTGCCAAAAGCGAGCCGTGCCGATGAATGCACCATACCAAAGAAAGGTTGGTAGTAAACATGTAAAAACTGAAAAAAAATAAAGAGACGACAGCACAAACCTACGACAAATGCCAGACCAGCTTCAATCGGGGTTGTATTCTCATCAATATCATTTCCATAAAGACATAAACCAGCTTCCAATCGCAAAGCATCTCGTGCACCAAGTCCTGCCAGTTTTACGTTACCGTTCTGAAAAAAGTAATATTTGATAGCGGTTCAGTTGCGGTAACAAAACAATGAAAAACCTTTGACTGCAATAATCTCTCTGCAAGAACACTAGCCTGACTGGGATCGACCGAAATCTGGAAGAGCAAACACCGTGTGAGTTTATCCAATACTACTGTAAACAGAAACAAAATTAAAACAAGCCTACCTCCACCCCATCCTCACCAGTATAACCGCAGCGAGTAACACGACAATTATCTATGCCAAACACTTTGCCAATAGTTGTTGTCATGAAAGTCAACTCACGAAGGTTGATGTCCGTCTCTTTTTGGAGAACGTTCATCATTTCAGGACCTGAATGATGAAATCAAAGGGGCGCAATAAACAAGTGTAAAGGTTTGAATGGGGAAGGGCCGACGGGAGGGTGGAGGGGCTCGGA